ATAAGCTTATAAGCCCAAGATCAATGAAAAGAAACGAAAACTGAATGGTGTTGACTTACGTGAGAATGTGCTTTCCGATTGCGTTGGAAGACTCGCGGCTATGGTGGATGTGATAGGTGAGTGAAACACTGCTCCCTGGACGATTCCAGCCGAAGAAAAAACCTCCGATGAATTGAAGCTGCCACTTTCGATGCGAGGCCGTTTTACGTTTGTATACCGATGTCCCATATCCCTTGCTATCAACCCGGCGTGATTATAAATTGTAGTGCCGTCTCCGTCGCCAGTGAAAATCGATCTCGCCCCATGTGAGTCAGACATTTTCCGAAAGCTTCGTTCGTTGAAGAAGAGTACTGCTCGCAGCGAAGAACGAAACTTTTTTTTTTTTTTAGAAACCAGTTAAAACAGAGAAATTGTCCGGAAATCTCGTATCAAAAAAAACTGTAGGGGGCATAATATCAAAAATACGATTCACAGACGAGACCAAAACGAATCGCCCAGTAATTTAAGCTCCAAGTGTGGTAAAATTTCAAGTCTGCGAACGGCAAAACGTTCTATCCCAAACACAAAACTGTCGAATTTTGAAGTTCAACACTCCATTATCCAACTTGGCAACGTGTTTTGTCCAAAGACTCCCTTATCACGTCAGTTTATATTCCTACAAATCGATAGTGCCAGCGAAAGAAGATGGCCACCGAAACACAAGAGCTCTCCTGATTTAGAGGCGAGACTTGGCTGGAAGAAACACTCTCTGTGTTGAACTGCAGACGAACGAAACCCGCTATGCGCGGAAGAGATGCACTGGCGAACAATACATCGACAACAAAGTGAAGTGGAAGTCAGCCGCCGATGATTAGCGATGAGCGTGGGAACTTTTGTGGCAATTCAAGGCTCGTGAGAAAATTAACCCACACCATATATGGAGGTTATTTACAAATAGCGGCTCCAGAACAAAGAGTGCACGCGACCAGCTACCGAATCAACTTGGCCCACAGGGAATGTCCATATTCATAAATCGTCCACCAACATGTGGGCCTTTTGTGCGCTCAAGAGTGAGCAGTTCACCCGATTGGCCGAGCTACAATGAAGCCAGCTAATAGATGAAAATCTTTGCTTTGGCTCAGCTGTTTCCCAGGCAAAGATTCACACGGGAACACAAAGAAAGTTCGTTTTGTGTTGAAACAGTGGTGTCGAGGAGTTCAAACTTTAAAATGTGTGTTTAGAAAACGTCGTCGAAGTTGCCCTCGAACACACGGAGTTTTGCTATTTTCGGGCATGTCGACTTCAGTTGTTAAAGCGACGCATCGCACTTGTGAAAAACTTAACGTAAAATATCATGAAAACAAACTCAAACTT